GCAATAAACCAATCAGGATAAAATATAGAAACCCAGGGGCGATGCCAAGTGTAGAAGGTCGCACGAATAAATCCCGATAAGTCTTTATTTTGACCGTAATGTGCTGAGAGAAGAACATTGAAAAGGCAGTGTTATTGGAGGGTTGTTCTTATGTGCAACACGTCCCACAGTTTTGCTGTACCTCAAATTCAATGATTTCAAAAAGTAATCGAAGGTCTCCCACACCATAGTTAAATGAGGGGAATGGTAATGAAGCCTAGCTAACTTAAAAGGAACGAAAAGAGATCCTAGATTTATGCCGGAATTAAAGGTCCACGACCGTGCACAATCTCTTGCCTCGCGCTCATACACTTATTGGTTGGTTCTGCAGACAGAAGTAAACTACTAAATTCAAGTTTTGAACACTATTAGGGCCAAATACTGAAGACAAAACTTACAACGAAAAACGCTATTCTCGATGCAATGCTGAACGAAACGAGTTTAACTGTTCCAAACGGCTGCAGTGATTTTCTTTTTTTTTTTTTTCCGGTTTCGTGGTCCCAATTGCACATCTACTGTCTTAAAATATGGAGTTGCATATTTTGGTCTCATTTGAAAAACGCAATTTCTCAAATAAACCTTTTTGGAAAAATTTGAAACTCGAAAAGGGACGACCCATAACACTCCCCTGGGTACACCCTGGTTACTAATCAGTCGCAATGTCCAAAGTGATTGAAAACGATTCCACTGAAATGGCTAATGTACGCAACTGCAATTGAAACACGTTACATATAGGAATACCTTTATTTACAATATTTGCCTCATTAGCATTAGCGATACAGTTTCTGATGGAGCTACAAAAGCATTACTTTTGTACATTGAAAGGGCACAACACGATTAACTGTCCCAAGGAATATCCGCCTGCTGTAATGACTACTTTTTGTGCGACGCGGGTTTAATAACTAAACATTTTACAAAGAAAATAAGAGCTAATTAGCACTTTTGCTATCAAGAAATTTTTCAGTTTTTGAAAGCCAATTTCTCCTCGAATATCACACACAAAGAGGTAAACATTTCATCAATTACTTAGTTTCACAAGCTCTTTAAATGTTTGTAGTCATTTTGTGGCTAATGTGAGGCATTTCTGAGCAAAGTCGTTTAAAACCAGGCTTAGTTTAATTACATATGACGTTCCTATGCAGGAAATTTCATGGGAATCTTTAAAAATTACTTGTAAAAAATATAGTACACACGCATCTTTAGACTGCTCGCTGATAAACAGTAGCGACCTATTTCAAATTGGGAATGTTAAAAATAAAAAACTACCGAGCTTTTCTAAAGCAATTGGTAGCGTTTTTCAAAACGTCGAAAAATTTTCCTTGAAAATACAAGCCTACAGCAATGACTAATACGGTAACATCGGCAATATGATGTTTCTATTCCTAAAAGTCCTAAAAACCCGTAATCTCTGTTAACTCCCAGTACTTTACCAAGAAACCGCCTTACTTGCATTATCCTTTTTCGCTTCTTTTATCGTATTTTCTCATTTACACGCCTGTTTACTCTTTCTTTTTAAATAAAAGTTGCGCGAGAGGAATTTTCCAGTGACTTTGAAACGACATTTATGCTGCACAACTTCAGCTAGATCTTCTTGGCTTTGTCAATTGGAAAAGGTCTCAGTTGCTAAACTTTTGGCATTTAAATTGACAGGGACATCAGTTACTGAGTGAATCGAAGACAAGAAAATGGATGTCACAGCCTATCGACATACGTAGATACTTGGGAATAAAAAGGGTAGCAAGTAAAGCAACTTAACTTGGTAGCTTAAGACTAATGTAATAGTTTATCCATTTTCGAGCAAAACACGACATTACGAAAACTGATAACGGAAATAATCAATGAATATTTGCTGCTTGGCAGTGATGAAAGTTCTGCTAGTTTACACGACCAAGTCCTCGGCGTTTGCGTATAACTGCGTCTTGTCGAACATCTTCATGTTGATCAGCCGCTTTAGATGAAAAAAAATAGTTACATCATCAGTATGATAAGTTAACAAACAGCCACACCACACAAGTAGAGGCAACCGGGTATAGTATGGTTGAAACATCACTCAGCAGCTGAGCCAGGCTGTGAGTCCAATAATCATGAGCATGTCGTAAGCATTATGTCGATATCGGAGAAAACGTCTTTACAATCAACGGCGATACCCTTCCGAAAGTTTAAGACCAAAGTCGAAAGGTTCGAGACTCAAGTCTGAAGTCGATATGCTATATATAACTGGAGACGGTGCATTTTTTACAACGGCTCCCCAAAATAATATCCAAATTGAAAAGCAGTGTTATATTACCAGCAGCTGCACGACCACGTTGTGTATTTATTTACTGCGATCTTTCACATGCGTTTGCACCTCAGCCCTAAATCACCTTCGATGACTCTAAATACTTTGCAATTGGCTACTACTTGTTGGGTCAAAAATGACACATGCTCAGATGAACCCCGCATCAAGCACAGGCCGATGGAAATCAGTGTTTTATCCATTTAGGAAAGATCTAGTAAATATTAATGTGCTCAATGCTACTCCAGAACAACTTGCTCAAGAGGACGTTGCCAGGTTGTTAATTCATAGTGATTGCCTGAGTTAGCAAGGTCGTAGATGGTTGGGTAAATAATTACTTGTTTCGTCTGGTTCAACAAACGTTCTCGATAAAACAAGTTAAAAACAATGTGCCTTTGTCTTACCCTGTGTTGGTTCTCCATATCCTTAAGCTGGTTTTTCAAATCAGTGAATGTTGGTCTTTTATCCGGGTCATTTTCCCAGCATTTCATCATTATCTGATACCTGCGATAAACAAGACCTTCTCATAGCCTGTTTCAATAAATCTCGATGTCACGCGTAGTTGCAAACACTAATATCTTTTTCTTAAATTGCTTTCGGAAAGAATTTCTTTTTTCCCGTTGGCAAGAAAGAAAGTTATCAAATGTGAGTGTACCCCAGGGGGTACTCAATCACAACAGTGTTGGGAGGTGCGAATCGTCAAACTCAAATAGGTCCTAAATAAACAAAATGAATCAATTGCCTAGAACGCAAACCGAAAAAGATTGCTTTTCTTTGCATAAAAATGACTAATTAAAAGCAAAACATCAAAAGTATTCCAGACAGGTTTTGTATTAATCGTGTTTTATTCATTATATATATCTCAATCTTTTGGGAGACGGCAGTCATTCCTAAATCGCTGAGAAAGGAAGTCTGCTTGCATTTGTATTTAATTTATGTCTGTCCGGTCGAGCCCCAGTACTCTCATACATGAACCTGGGTAGTCCTCCCCACCCCACCCTACTGGACAATATACATGTAGTTTGCAGGAGACAGTCAGTTCTAATTCTGAGATAACGAATAACAGCGATTGCCAACAGGTGGGAGGTTAGGTTCCACTACGCGGTCTACGATTACATAATTGCATAACTGACCATAGCTTGACGTATCAAAATTGCGATAACATGTGCACTGCAGCCCTCCATAAAGGGCTGTCACTGCTGGTTTGATTTTCAAGAAGCAAAACTTACAATTTGTCATCCACATGT